TGAAAGAGATCCGACCTGGGATACACCATATGCATCTCTATATCTATCTTCTCTCTCAAATAATTGATCACTCACCTAAAGTAAAGAGCTCTTTGGAATTCCTTGATTGCTAGGGTATGTCTTGAAGTGGGGAACACATTCTAGTGCGCTTAAATTGAATTGATCCATAATTAAAGGTTGACTGTGGATCTCGATGCTGAATTTAAGTGGACAACAATATCCTTGGTCCTTGTCAGCTAAATGGTCTATTTAGAAATATAGCTGTAATGTCTTGTCACTTATAATCTGTCCAACTTGCAAATATCCTTTCTGTTTAAGTGGACCACAATATTGGTGATTGACCAGAGTTATCAATGCAGGTGTGTGCTGATAAGCGCTATTAAAATTTATTGACAACCTTTGATCCTAAAATGTTTTAGATTTAATTATTAAATTGTGGTTGTTTTAATTTATTTTATAAATTTAAATATTAAAGGGTGTTTGTTTTAATTTATTTTACTTTTGTTTCTATAATGTTTATTTATTTTATTCTATTTTGCAGTTAATTTGCATTAATTTAGAATTTAGAATTTTATAATTTAGTTTTTATTTTATTTATTTTATTTTTATTTTCGTTCTATTTTAATTTTTAATCTAAGAAACAAATTTTAGGAAAATGAATTGTTTATTGGATTTTATTTTGGGGCCCATTTGTCACGCCCCCAAACTAGAAAGGATGACTTCATGTACAGTATTATAACAATTGAATATGAATGAAACATAGCAACCAAACATTATACATTACAATATAGCAACATTCATTGTTTTACAAATTGTACTTGTTTAACGATTACACAAAGATAACATAAAGTAGGGTTGCTCAAAAGGTAGTAAAGTAATCCAGATCCGAGGCCCGAGTACCTGTTCACTGAGTCCCTGAGAATACAATTCGTTTTGAAAAGCGTCAACATATTATGTTGGAGAGTTCATAAGCATGTTTGTAGGAAAAACTTTGTACTATCTTTTCTGATAATAAGTGGAAAACTTCAGAAAATATAATATTTTCTATAAAAAGTAGTTTGTGAGTTTCGTTCCAAAACCGTGTATAATTCCATGCACATCCTTTATTATCCTTTGTTTGTATTTGAAAAGAGTGTATCCCCACAAAATCGCATAATTTCTTTATATAAAAGTGTTGTGGTCTTAAAGACCTAAGACCCGAGTGGTGAAACCAGTTTTCAAAGTATACAAAGCATAGCTTGGTGTTTTATGAAAACCAGTTGAGTGTAAATTCTTTGTAATTTCCAATAATGTGGTTATTCTGTGTGTGTCTCTTCCTTGTAGAGTAACGATGAATAAATCCAGAAAATCCTATATTTCCTGTATATAGAGGTGTTGTGGTCTTAAAACCCTAAGACCCGAGTGGTAAAATCAGTTTACAATGTATATGAAACATTGTTTGGTATTTATTTTAATGAAACTAACGAAGTAAAGCTTCCCGTAAACCAAATGGTGTAGTTATTCCCTATGTGAGTCGCTATAACCATGCTTGATATGACTGATATGCCTGTCATGACGTTTCCAGGCGTCGCTTGTTTAAGGTAAGATATTTGTCACCCTAGACTGGCCTAGTCTAGCTGTAGCGAACAGCTCAGGTGTGAGGTTGTCAACCCCGTATAGATGTATACACAAATTCTCGCTCTCCCTTCAGGAGACTCTGGTTATAACTAACAGGACTTATTGCGTACGCTAGTTAGGTATGACTAACGGAGAGTCTCACAAGAGCCTTAACAGATTTACGTAAACTATGACTTTTCTTTCTAGTAAAACGACTTCAGTGTATCTAGTGTAATTGAAAATATTTATATAATCAAGTATATAAGTACATGAAATTATCATGTCTAGGCTTTTTCAAAAGGTTACAACCTTTAAAACTTACATCTAAGCACAAGTATAAGCACTTTTCATAAGTTAAAACAATTTTCTGGTTTTTGGCTTTTCTGTCCCTGTTTTTAGAAAAATTATAGAAAAATCATTCTAGGTCAAAATTTGGATCCTTAAACTCTGCGGGTTTGTAAATTGAGTCTACTTTGTTCACAAAATTTCCCCTAATTTTTAATGGCCTCAAACCAGTGTGAAATTCTTAATCTTCACAGACTGGTCCAAGAGTATCCCTGAAATGATAAGCATATTTGTAAACATCGCCTAAAATTGTAGAAAAAACGTATGAACACGTGAGAGTCGTCATTTGAAAGGTATAAACCTGAACTTTTTGCATTTAAAACAGTTTTGAAAAAATATTACATTTAAGGTGGTCAAAACTGTTCGTGAATGACATATATCTTTTCTATGGAAGGCTGGAAATTAAGTTTATGTTATACATGTTTGCACACAAGACTTGTTTATGATATATTTGAAGTGTATAGCCCCATATCTACTGTTTTCAAAAAATATATGTGTTAACAACCCTTATCTCATCATTTTTATGTGGATCTATATGATAAACTTCATGTTCAAGTAAAAACCCAAAAGTTAAACATAAAACACAATGGTCCATACAGTTATTCAATGGTTAACCGAAACTTTGACTTGTATTCCCCCCCAAAGAGTATGAAAACATGAAAAATAGTGGGGTATGAAGCTCACCTTGGGGTTTTCAAGATGTAGATGAAGAAGATGAAGAATTTTTTAATCCTAGCTTAAGCTTGGAAGGGATCTTGAAATGGTGGTTGATCTAAGTTCCATATTCACGAAAATGGAGTTGTAAGAGGAAAGATCATTGTAAAAACTTGAAACAAAACAATGGAGTTTACTATGGACTTACCTAGGATCTTAGAAATCCCTCCTTGATGATGAATAACTTGAAAAAATGTTTGAGAGGATAAGGGAGTTTTGAGAGAATAATAACTTGAGTGTGTGAAGTTTGCAAAGATGGATGTGGAGGAGGGATAAGGCTTGGCCGAATTAAGAGGAGAGGGAGTGAGAGAAACCAATGCCTAGATATTTTATGGACAATAATCCTTCTCTTGATACATGTTGGATATAACATGGAAGTATGGTATGTAAAATTGAGGTGTCACCATTTAAATTAATACCATTTTTTTTAAATAGTCGATCGGGCCTTATGAGGAGGGAAAAGAAATAGCCTTGGGCTTGAATAGGAAAGAAGAAGGATGTTGGGCTCGACTTTTATGTGTAACCGAGAACCATAAGCCCAATGGGTGTTTACGGTTTTAAAGGCCCAAAATAAATGGCTCTCGGCCCATTAAATGATCCATGAAGGGTATTAGCCCAATTAATCCTTAAATTCATTCCTCATGGACCAATAAGGCCCATTAGGAGGTTTACGGCCCAAAGGAACCAAGTTGACGAGTTATCAGCCCATTTGGCCCAATAAGATAGTTTTGAGTTAAGGCCCATAGTTGAATGCACATAACTTATTGGATTGGACTTTTGGTCTTATACGGGAAGGTTTTGACTTGAAACAAAATTTTGGATGTATAAATTTGTATTGTATTGAAAGTAGCTTATACTGCACATAGTGTTACATAGTTAAACAAAGGATGGTAGTTGTATATGGATAGGAATTTCTAGCCCTAAAATGCTAGTTGTGACACCATTGATCTCGGTAGCCAGAGGGCCGAGAACCCAATCATGAGTTTAATAGGGTTTTTCAAGTATCATTTGCATTCACTACCACCGAAATCTACTTTCTCTCATAAAACTCTAGGCGCAAACTCCATCTGTTCATCTCTTCATCTTCTCGATTTTGATCATCAAAACTTCTTAATTGTTTGAAGCTTTGAGTTGGTAAGTGGATTTCGTGTTGAACACTATTAGTTTTATACCATTTCTTGAAGTTTTAGCAGGCTCTCAATGGGTTTCTGGCGTGGTTGACGGTGGTTTCCGACGAATCTGTCAAGGGTTTCAAATTTTGAAAAATCGGGTTTTTGGTTTGAACCGAATCCAATCGAAATCAATTGGTTCGACCGAAATCAATATGGTTGACTGAAAACGTTTGGTCAAAAGTGTTTTGACCGAAAACGATGGAAACCTTGAATTTAACCGAAAACTCCTGAAGTTGTATCTTTGACCGGAATCTCAAGTCCAACCGAAATCGTTTATTTATTAACCGAAATCACTTGCTCCTTGACCGAAATTGACATCTTGAGAAAAATATGAATTTTTGAAAAATAAAATTTTAGTTTTAATCTTTATGATTCTCACTTGATTCGATTGGTGTAGTTGAATTGCAGATCAGTTGAAATTTATGGATTCTCACAATATCTCAAATCCATGATCGTGGGTTTGAACAATTGCAGGATTTCCCATGCTCTACGTGCTAATCCAGTCATCTACAAATACCTGATTACTGAATTCTGGAAAAATGTTTCAATCTACAAGCAGGGAGCAGATGGAGATGGTGTTATTGAATCGATGGTGAAGGCAACTTCAGTGATTATTTCTGATCAAGTTATCCGAGAAGTACTAGAATTTGGTGATGCATCTGCATTTCCAATTGAGTACCCTGTTGATCAAGTGAAGGGAGCCCTTGAGAAGATGTGTTATAAAGGAAACTATCCTCCCACCATCAAGAAACTGCTGCAACCTTACTCGAGGTTTCTCGCACTCTACTTTGTAATTTGTATTTCTAGAAGGAAGGGAGGATCGGATGAAATTGGTCACACTGCGATCTCAACCATTGTCTCTCTAGCAATGGACTGGGATTACAACTTTTCAACGTTTGTCTTTGAAGAATTGAAAAGCAACCTTCAGGGGAAGAAGAAGGACTTGTTTTTTATGTATCCCAGGTTCCTTCAAATGATCTTAAATAAAAAATATCCCCAACTTGTGAGGTCATCTGACACTTTGGATATGAAAGCCTTGGGTCCCAACACCTTTGGGCTCATGAAGCAATCAAGAAAAGAAGCCAGAGTTGCCTATAATGGATTGAAGAGTTGGTAAAATTTGGAAAATTCGTAGAGACAGAAGGTGTTCAAGCTACCAGTACTACAATTGATATGGTGGCAGAGGAATATGTGGCTCCATCAAGGTCACATCTTAGTTTATCGTTTAAGGTTTCTGATGATGATGATGATGATGTTAATAATGATGATGATGATGATGATGATGATGATGATGATGATGATGATAATGATATGAAATTTCATTTGTTTGTACCATCAAAGGAGCCAGTCAATGAAGCTGTGATTACTCCAGCTGAGACAGAGACTAAAATCAATATTTTCAAGCAACCGAACAATCCGACGCCGAACAGATGGAAGCCCTTATTGAAAAATTACAGTCAACTGTAAGGAAGCCTCCCCAATAAGTTTATGTTACTACTGAGTCTCCATATATGAGTGATAAAGATGATTCAAATGCCTCGTTGTTGCCAAGAAAGCGAAGACGTAGAGATCCAAGGCCGGGAATGCTTATTGTTGAACTAGTACAACAACCAACTTCAACTATTGAACCAGCCCAAGTTATTCAAGATGATCAAAGCCCAACTGCATAACCAGCCCAAGTTATTCAAAATGATCAAAGCCAAATTATTGAACCAGCCCAGGTTCATCAAGATGATCAAGGTCCAACTCTTGAACTAACCCAGTTTCATCAAGACGTTTAAAGCCTAATTTTTTACGATGACTTCGACTTCTTAGTTAATGAAGAAACTTTTGCCTCGGGAAGCTCTTCTGCCCCACCACCTCCAGAGCACGATGCTACATATGTCAAGTTAGCCAAGCTACTTGCCTTTCAAGATTCTATTCCTCAATCAAAAGGAAAAGGGAATATCTATTGGCTCAGGGCATGGAGGTGATGAAGACTCTCAACAAACCATTTCTGAGCTCAAACAAGAGATCTCACTTTTGAAGCAGGAGTCCATTGAGAAGGACTTGTTGATTGGAAGTTTGGGTGTGAGAGTATCAGAGCTTGAGAAAGAAAATTGTCAAAAGAATAAGCAGATCTCAGACCTTCAGGCCAATCATGCGGGTTGATAGCTCTTTACTATGATCTCAAAGACAAACTGAAAATTTTGCTAATAAGTTCAAGACTTCAGGTTCTAATGTTGGAAAAGCTACAGAGTCATCTGAAAGAGTCACAGTTTCTCCTGCCCCAGATGCTAACATTGATAAATTTTTATCCTCTGGCCCTGTCACTACTGAAGAAAGAAGGGAGAAGAAGAAAAGGGTTGATAAAATGAAGAAAGATAAAATGCTTCTGATGAAAAATTCTTATCAGAATGCACCTGGTAATCACCCAAAGATGTTTATCAAAGAAATTGGAAAAAGAAAATTTGTTGATCGATATGGTGATCGTTCCGGAATTCGCATGTGGGGATTTGAAGCTGACAAGAAAATGTCGAATGTGAAACGAAAGAGCGGAAACATTAAGTATTATGTGAAGAAGATTGATTTTGTGTCTTGGATAAAAGTTGATCTTGTAGAGATGGTCCACGCACCGTTCCACAATCCAACAAATGATACCAACGCATGGGCGTTTAAAAAGTTCCTTCAAGACAAAGCTAAGATGAAGTTTGAAGGCATGACAACATCATCATCGTTCATTAAAAGGGCCAAGGAAGTCATAGATCCCCATATCAACAAGAATATGGTGAATTTTATGTGGCCGCCTATGAATAAAGCGAAAAGGATCCCTATCACTCAGCGTATACCTGATGGCTCTTTGAATGATTTATTATATTGGGTATATGATGAGGCGACAACGACTGTGGTAATCTAGACGAAAAGGATCAGATTCGACTTGTTGGTCCTAGGGATTTACTGAAATTTGGCGAGAACGACATTTATACCTTGTCTAAACATCAGATTATGGTGGAGAATGAAATGTTTGAAGCTGTTGCAAAGGCATTCACCGACATGATAGCGACTATCATTGATAAAAGACTGTGGGCAGGAGCATTGGCTTATTCTGATGTTCATCTTGTGGAGAAGCCATGAAGTTAGTTAGCAATAACCAACAATAAACCGAGGGGAAGATTATTGGGTCATATTTAATGGTTTATGTTGGGCTTCTAGTCTTTTAATGATCTTGGGCTTTAGATTATGAGCTTATTGGGTTTTCAGTTTTGGGGACCGAAATCACTTTGGTGATTTCGGTCAGATGGGTTGGGCCGTGATAAGGCTTTGTACTTGGTGTATAAATAGTTTTCAGCCGTTTATATTTTCTAGTTGTTCATTCATTGTGGTATTCGGCTGTTAAGTGTTTCCTTGATGTACCAGACGACTTGATTTAATATAATCATGTGTGTTAAGTATTATTTGTGTGTTCTTGAATCGCTATCTGATTTATATTCCGCATTCATTAGATAGTCTGATTGATATCTTGATAAGCTATGTCTTTTGGGACTTACAGGGTATGACTTAATTGGATTACTATTATGATAGACATAAATGACTAACTAGTTATTGGAGAAAGTTTAAAAGAAAAATAAACTAAAATGCCTACAAGTATTGTATGGTATGAGAACATAATAAAAGTTTTTGAGATACTTAAATATTAATATTTGATGAGAGAAATTTCCTATAATAAAATGAGATCGTGACTTGACAGTCCGAGAAGAGACATAGGTTTAAATACCCTTACTTACTTAGCGAAACTCTAAGGACATAATCCTTTTAAGGATGGGAGAACTTATGACACCTGTTTTCATGATATGTACTATTGCGAGACATGTAATAACCTAAAAAACTCATAATATGTGTTGTAGTATGTATTTGATATAAATTTGATTGAGGGTGAACTCAAAATAGTGAAATGATGATACGTCGATGATGAAAAATGCAGGTTCTTATACTTGTTGCATGGTATAAGAATATTAGTATCCTTTAGTGAGGCATTCATGATAGAAAATGATAGTTTAATATTAGACAATTCCAATGATATAAACTTTGTCAAAAACAGAGTTTGTATGAGAAAGTTATGGTTGTTCGAAGTTGTGATGAAAGTACATTGCTATTTCAAGAAAATCAACGAAAGTTAAAGCCAAACGGGCAACTAGAAGGTCACCATAGCATGGTTGCATAATCACCATGACATGGTGATGTAGTGAATGATGAGGACACGTGTCCTTTTAAAGGGTTTTGGCACATGCATACGGGGAGCGGCTCTAGAGGTGTTTTCGAAGACTTTTAATCACTTAATTTACTAGTGTGTAGGGATACAAGGTTAGAGTTATAGGATTAGCCAATGTATCTTTTATCCTACTATTACATAATTACATTTATGTAATATTTTGAAGAGTGTTATTAGACGTGTATGTCTTACAAGATTTTATGATATGGTGTTATTACGAACCAGTTGGTTTTGTAAATGTTAATCGACTGTTATGGGTTAAATACCCTAACTTACCAAGATTTAATGATTTGGTTAACGACTTTTGGGGTTAAGTCGCTATATGATTGTAATCGAAAACTTGATTAGTTTGGTGACAAATGGTTATCGAGTAATTTTAGTGGCTAGGTAATTGGTTACAATAGTTGATATATGGATTAGATTAGACAAGTTCTAATGAACTTGATATATTATCCAACTAAGGTTGGTCAAGTGAAGAATTGGAAAGCTGCGCAGAGATATAGGTCAATATAATAGTTAGTCTTCACTAGCTAACCAAGTGAGTAATTGTATCTTTCTCTAGGTAATTATTATTTAGATATGTGATAATTATTGTGTATCTTCATAGTAGAGCATAATATCGAAATAGTTATTTATTAATATTGTATGAGTTGAGTATCTGTGATAGTTGAGAATGATGTGTCTATTGCTATACGAGTCATTAAATAAAGAAATTATTAACTTATAGTATTTTATTACTATATGAGTAAACTATGAGTATAATTGAGATATATAGGGAAGTATAATATTTTAAGCAAGTTCAGTTGAAATATAAAAAAGAGTTTTAAAAGATGCATTAATGAGTGACTGTTGTTGAGATATATAGTCGTATGTTATTATAGATGTTAATGAGAGAGTATTTTTAAGAAATATAGTAGAGTATTGTTATACAAACTGATGAGTTAGTAGAATTGAGAATTAAAAAATAGAGAGAGTATGAGAGAGAGACAGAAAGAGAAGGTGTGATTAAAGAAATAAAGAGAGAGAGAGAAAAAGAGTGTGTGTGTGTATGCATGTATGTATGTGTATATAAAGAGAGGGAGAGTATGAGTGTAAAGATAGTAAGAAATATATAAAGAGTAAGAGAGAGATAGAGAGAGATAGAGTGTATGTGTGTGTGTTGAGAGGGAGTATGAATATACATATAGAGAGATAATCAAATAGTGTAAGTATAGAAAAAGAGAATAGCGAGAGTAATAATATACAGAAACATATAAAGAAATGGAGATAAACTGTCAATGAGTAATAAGAGAAAATACGAATATATATAGATATATGTGTATATAAGGAAAAGAGAAAGGGAATTGATATAGAGATTAAAGAGGAATGAAAGAGAATAAGCACAGAGTAAATAAGGGGACACACACATACACATACACACACACACAGACGGGAGAGAGAGAGAGAGAGAGAGAGAGAGAGAAAGTGAGTATGGTGAGATGAGATAAGAATAAATTGTGAATATTAATGGGTAAATGAGTTTCTAGTAACTATACACCTGACGATTAGTGTATTTATATGTCATAATTGTTATATGTGTCATCGTTAAGGATTACTCACCAAGCTCGTTGTAGCTTATTCTTTTATTGGTCTGTGTTTTGTTGGTAACATTACATAAGAAGTTAAGATTGAAGAAGAAAGATAGTGATACCCGACTCGGATTACTGTATTTTAGTTTCTTTGAACCAATCCTGATGATAACTACATGTAGATCATTGTTAATGTATGTGTACATCAATTTGTTTGATCATGGGTCACGATCATTTCCAGAACTTGCAACATGCTTTTTGTGGTTACGTACAAACGTTAAGATTAGAAAGTGATTTCTATTAAGAAAAAGTCATAAAATTAAAAAATTAGAGAAACATATGACTAAAACTAGTAAGGAACGTAGTATTATGAGGCTTCAAGAACATTAAAAAAGAGTTCAAATTTCCTCGTTTTATGGATGAAAATGGCTAGAGTCTTCGGAGAGTTTTGAGATAATTTTTGAGTGTAAGCTAGAGAGAGATAGAGAGAGAGAGAGAGAGAGAGATGGAGAGAGAGAAAGATATATATATATATATATATATATATATATATATATTGTGTGTATGTATATATGTGTATTCAAGTAAGGAAAAGGGACGAATGAGTGAATAGAGACATGTTATAAGGGAGTATATGGACAATTTTTATG